GAATTCTGGGGAATTTTTTGGGGAATTTTGGGGAATTTTTTGGGGAATTTTGGGGAAATTTTTGGGGAATTTTGGGGAAGTCTGGAGAAATTTTTGAGGAATTTTGGCGAATTTTGGGGGGAATTTTGGGAATGTGGGCACCCCAGCACACAGCCAACACGAGGAAATAAAGTGATTTTCTCAGCTGCTCACTCTGGCCAGCCTCATGGCAGCAGGGCTCAGCTCAATTCAAAAGGAATTTTTGGCTTTTTTTGGGGAATTTCGGGGAATTTTGGGAATTTTTGGGAATTTCGGGGAATTTTGGGAATTTTGGGGAATTTCGGGGAATTTTGGGGAATTTTTTGGGGAATTTTGGGGAATTTTTTGGGGAATGTGGGGAATTTTTTTGGGAATTTTGGGGAATTCTGGGGAATTTTTTGTGGGAATTTTGGGGAATTCTGGGGAATTTTTTTGGGGAATTTTGGGGAATTTTTTGGAATTTTGGGAATTTTGGGGAACGCGGGCACCCCTGCACACAGCCAACACAAGAAAACAAAGTGTTCTCCTCGGCTGCTCGCTCTGCCCAGCCCCACGGCAGCAGGGCTCACTTCAAATCAAAAGGAATTTTTGGCTTTTTTGGGAATTTTTTGGGAATTTTTGGGAATTCTGGGGAATTTTTGGGGGAATTCTGGGGAATTTTTGGGGGGGAATTTTTTTTGGGAATTATTTCTGTATTTCTGCGTTTATTTCTGCTAACTCCTACGCCTCACTGCCTCCCGTGCTCCCTTCTGAAGCAGAATAAAACAGCTCAGAGCCTGTTCCCTGCTGCAAGAGCAGCACAAGGGAACGCTTACGGTGTGTCCAGACACCGGCACCAGACAATGAAATTATTTAATGATAATATCTAATAATGATAATGATAATGATAATGATAATAATAATAATAATAACGATAATGATAATGATAGTAACAATAAATTATATTATATTGTATTGTATTGTGTTGTATTATATTATATTGTATTGTATTATAATTATATTACATTATATTATATTGTATTATATTATATTGTATTATATTATATTATATTATATTATATTACATTATATTATATTATACTATATTATATTGTATTATATTATATTATATTGTATTATATTATATTATTATATTATATATTTTATAGATAATATTTATATAATTTATTATAATTTATATTGTATATAATATTTTATATTCTATTATATTAACATATATATTCTATTATATTAACATATTATATATTATATTATATTAACATAATATATATTATATTAATATATATGATATAATATATATAATGTATATAATAATAACATATATGATCTAATAATATCTGATAATATCTAATGAAATTATTTCCTTAAATAATGGAACTATTGAAATTCAGCTTTGGCGCTGGGATCACTCCTCAGAAGACAGAGGTAACAATCAATAACGAGTAATAGAAATAATAACAAGGTTAGCAGGGGTGAGCACACCGGTCAAAGCGTGCCAAGTTAAGTTTCTGGGGATGTTTGGGGGTTTTTTTTTCCTAGCTCATCTTTGCGCACTTTTAATAACGCGCTAAAATCGCTGGGTCACACCGATTTCCCTCTCCTCTAAGGTCCTCTGGGAGGAGAATAAAACAAGTTTTGAAATCAAGCACTGACCAGCTGTACAATCTCAGATTCTTTTTCCCATGTCCAACTCCTCCGCAGCTTCAGGCAAAGCGGGAATATCAGACTCCTTCATCCAACTGCAGAACTAATTACAGAATTTCTGTTCTCTGCTCCTTATCCTGCTTCTTAAATCACATTGAGCATTCCCAATCCAATTAATTAGCACATCCTACAGGTGCGGGCAGTTTTGGGTGCATTTTTCATTAACCAGCAGCTCTCAGCCCTGAGAATTTTGTTTTCCTGGGGGGTTTCACAGGGAGGGAGCAGCGAGAGCAGGCTCGGCTGGAGGCTCTGCTCAATACCCGCTCTGACGCGCTACTGAGCCGGATTTTGGGAGGAAAAGGGGTTTTTGGAGGGCCAAAAGCAGGTTTTCTGCGGGCCTGGCGGGGCTGGTGCCCGCAGAAACACACGGCTACTCACCTGAACTCTGCAGCGTCAGCCCCGAGAGATCTGTACAGGGAACACAGAGACACGCAGGATGAACTCGGGGATCTCAGAACACGCTTAAATGCTTACCAGCATTAGGAATTATCCCTTATTATCCCTGCCACCACCAGACAAACCCATCCTCTAAATCACACCAAGAACCGCGCGCAAACCCGGCAGTGTCGGGGTCTGGAATTCAGAGTGTGTGCCCTTCTTCCTGATACTTAGTTACAAGACCCAGAAAAACTCTAAATTTCAAATAACGTGAAATTCATCAGCGTGTTTGCATGGTGATACGTGAAAACAAACGTTAAAGTTAGATGAAAGAAAGCTAAAAGTGTGAGTGTGTAGATTAGAGAGTATTTTTTAAATCACTGGGTGAAAAAGTTAGTTTAGAGAACAGGAGGCAAAATAGAAGATTTAGGGTGTTGTCCCTTGTCCCTTCTTCTTTCTTCTTCACGTTCTTCTCCTAGAGGTTTTTGGGTAATAATAAGTGATTGGATAGAAAATGCCACAGTGCAGCACAGAGGAGATAAGTCATTAGATCATTAAGAAAAATAACATAAAAAAACCCATAAAAAATAATATATAAAAATAATATATAAAAATAATATATAAAAATAATATATAAAATAATATATAAAAATAATATATAAAAATAATATATAAAATAATATATAAAATAATATATAAAAATAATATATAAAAATAATATATAAAATAATATATAAAAATAATATATAAAAATAATATAAAAAATTGGGTAAAAATAAGTATAAAGGTAACTATAAAAATAAGTATAAAAATAAGTATAAAGATAAAAGAACTGCGTATTTCGAGGCCATTTTGTGCCTCAGACACGAAGTGTGCCACTTTTTTTCACAAGAAAAAAAATGTACCAAATTGCAAAGGTTAATAACTTTGTGTAACCAGCCCGGAAGAGTTCAGTCCAGGGGGGAGCTGAAAAATCCAAGAGTAAAAAAAAAAAAAGAAAAATTATAGAAGAAATACAGCAAAACCAAAGAAACAGAGAAAAAAGACTTTTTAAAGAAAAGTTACAGGCAGGGAGGCTTCTTCAGCAAAACCCACACACCAGCCTTTCCCTCCCCAGCTGCAACACGGGTAAAAAAGGAGGGTTAACCACAGAAATTAGTGAATTTGTGACCGGCCGACTGATGAATTCAACGATTCTGCGGTTTTTACACCCAGAAACGTTTCCCGCTCCCAGCCGGGGGTGCGCTCACCGATGCCGGGCGACACCACGCGCTCGTAGTGGTAAGGGTTGACGCAGACACTGTCGCATTTCAGGTCGAAGGCGTACTGGCAGTACTTGACGTGCTTCAGCTCGTTCTTGTGCAGGTCGGGCCAGCGCCAGAGACGGGCGTAGATGACGTGGGGGAAGCCCTTGCGGCCGGCCACCTGGGAACCGGACACACGGAAATCAGGGAATTCGGGAATTCCGGCAATTCCACACGGGACAGGCTCGCGGGGAACGGGACAAACACCGCTGCGACCCCTCCCCACCATCAAACAGGCTTTTTGTGTTAAAAAACACCGCTGTGACCCCTCCCCACCATCAAACAGGCTTTTTGTGTTAAAAGAACACCGCTGCGACCTCTCCCCAGCACCAAAACAGGCTTTTTGGTTAAAAAACACCAGTTTTGTTAGAAACAGTTTGTGTTTACTCAAGTTCTGTGCCCGACAGAAACAAGCTGCTGTCAGGGCTTTGTGTACAGTTAAACCAAGGCTGGGATTCTTAGGTAAAAAATATTAATACTAAACTAATGATCTAATAACTAACAACATAGTAATAATAATAATAATAATAATCATCATCATCATCATCATCATCATCTAGCTAATAATCTGACTAATAACTAGTAATCTAGTCCTAAAAACCCTAAATACTAAAAAAACTTCGGGTTTGTGTTTATTCAAGTTCTGTGCCCGACAGAAACAAGCTGCTGTCAGGGTTTTGTGTACAGTTAAACCAAGGCTGGGATTCTTAGGTAAAAAATACTAATACTAAACTAATATTCTAATAACTAATAAACTAATAATAATAATAATCTAGCTAAAAATCTAGCTAATAACTAATAATCTAATCTAATCCTAAAAACCCTAAAGACTAAAAGAACCGTGGGTTTGTGTTTACTCAAGTTCTGTGCCCGACAGAAACAAGCTGCTGTCAGGGCTTTGTGTACAGTTAAACCAGGGCTGGGATTCTTAGGTAAAAAATGCTAAAAAATTGTAATACTAAACCCTGATCTAATACTAAAACCCCTAAACACTAAAAACATCCAACACCATAAAACCCTCGGGCAGAAGGTGTCAGAAGCAGAACCTGTGCCTGAGGCTCTGGGTGTGGCCACCTTCCCCAGCAGGATTTTGCCCCAGGAGAAGAGGAACGAGGCGCTAAGCTCCCCTGCCAGGAATTCCCGGGGCAGAGGAGCACCGAGCCATTCAAAACGTGCAAAACCCAACACTGACAATTTAACATTTAACCTCCAGGCCGGGCAGAGGCCGGCAGGACCCACCTGGAGCCTCCCGTCCAGCGTTCTCTGTATGGTGACACACTTGCTGGGGTGAGCCCCGTTGGTGGTGATAGCCGTGATCAGAGAATCCAGCTCATCCTTCTTCTCCTTCAGCTTCTTGACCAGGCTCTCGATGGCGCGCTTGGCGAAGGTCTCGCTCTCCCCGCCCTGCCGGTGGCACATCAGGCTGTGCACGATGCTCAGACAGGCGTCGTTGCTTGTCGGCGTGTTGGTAATAGACATATTGTCCATCTGTCACAGCCTTTCCCCTCGGATCGAACGTCGCTCCTGGGCGCTGACGAGCAGGGGATGATCCAAGTCGAGGGTTAGGTGTCTCTTGGTAAAACCTGGGAGGGAAAAACATCCGGGTTGGGATTGTTTTTAACAAAAAGCGGATCGTGTTTCTAAGGAAGTCTGAAGGCTTCTTTCCCTCTGTTACTTTCAAGCTGAGTGCAGGGTGTTAAAAGCACATGAACATCGGCATTGCTTGTCCCGTGATGGCTAAAACGTGCCCGAGGGGCTGCCCCAACACTTTCAGATGTAAGATGTTTCAGGTGTTTTATTCCTCCCCCAGTAACGATATTTAAATAAAGGTTACGGTTTATACACACGCCTACAGAGAGGCGGGGATGCCCACGTGAACCAGGAGAAGAGTGACCATGATTTTACACCGAATCGGGGTGAAATTGACTGAAAACACTGCCTGGGAAGGCTGATCCAAACCAAACAAGTTTTTAACCAAAAGTTACACCACCACACGGCGTGAGCACAGGGCTCCCCTCCTGGTAACAGGAACGCTGCTGGACAAACCCAGCACAATCTCAAAAGGAAATGAACTCTTCCTTATCTGATATTTTCTACAGTTTTAGCTGGAATACATCACGCTTTGGTACCCCTGAAAAATACACGGCGCAAATCCCTCCCCCTGCCTCCCTCCCACATTCAAGCCTTCTCTTCTTTTGTAAGGATGCTTCTGCACTCAATTTTTCCCAAAGGAAAACAATTACCTCCAAATTTGAGTAGGATCACGGGTTTTACCTAGCTATTACAATTTCCCCCTCTGTGCCGGGTTTTTTTCTCGTGCTTGGATTCAATAAGCCCCTTTCAAAAGTCAAGCTTAACCTGCCAGTCATCCTCTGTGGCAACTCACACTAATCTGTAAATGCCTTCCAGCTAAAGCAGAGCGGAACGTCGTTCTCCTTAAATACACGACACCATCCCAGAGAGATGTGCAGAAGTAATCACAAATAAATGCCCTGATAAAGCTATTAGCTAAAGCAGCTTTAAATACAGAGACGATTAGAATTAGGCACGCAGCTTTATCTCCTCCCAGACCGTGAATGAGAATTGTGTTCGCTGACTTCCTCAGGGTTCAGAACAAGCAGGCCAGGCCTCATTTAAGTGGAATGATCCTCACAGGAGTTGGGTCACCCCTCAGGTGCCAGGCTCTGGAAGCTTCTCTGGGGTTTGGAGCGCTGTGGGCACGGGGGGAGCCCCGGGTGGGAGCCGGAGCTCTGCCCAGAGCCCGGCAAACGCCGCGGCACGCTGCTCCAGGAGCTGCCACAGGTTCTGCAGGCTGCAGGGGTTTGTGTTCCTGGAGCCCATCCTGAGCTGGGTCACACCTGGGGGCTCCAGGAGCTCGTCCTGAGCTGGGTCACACCTGGGGAACAGCTCCAGGAGCCTGTCCTGAGCTGGGTCACACCTGGGGGCTCCAGGAGCCCGTCCTGAGCTGGGTCACACCTGGGGAACAGCTCCAGGAGCTCGTCCTGAGCTGGGTCACACCTGGGGGCTCCAGGAGCCCGTCCTGAGCTGGGTCACACCTGGGGGCACTGCCGTACCCCGCTCTCTCCCTGCCCGGCCAGCAGGGCTAATCCTCAATGCCAACAGGTGTTTAACAAAGCTGCACCTGAGCACACCCCATGGCCCTAAAGGTCCTCTCCAGCCCCAGCAGGCCCCCGACCCCGTGCCACACTAAGAAATTGTTTCATTAACCGAGAAACAGGGGGCCAACAGCCAGCGGCGTTCCAGGCAACCCGAGCAGCAGAACCTCCGGAGGGGAGGGAAACCTGCCGGCTCATCCAGGTGGCCTTCCAGGACCTGCAGCAAGCTCCTCTCTCGGAGCACCCACGAGCAGCTGCTGGCTGCTCCTGTCCTGTCCTGTCCTGTCCTTCCAGGACCTGCAGAGAGCTGCTGGCTGGAGCTGCTCCTGTCCTGTCCTCTCCTTCCAGGACCTGCAGAGAGCTGCTGGCTGGAGCTGCTCCCCTCACAGAACAAACCCACACATTTTATTCCTGCAGGCACGGGCCGCCCCACGGCTGCCCCTCCTCAGCCCGTGCAGCAGAACGCGATTACCTCTCAGTTTGAGTGGGATGATGGGTTTCACCTCGCTGTCGGCTGTTAATCCTCGGACACGGAGCAGCTGCCAGAACCTGGGAACACACCTGCAGGTCGCTCTGCCAGGAAGGGTTACCTGGTGGGAGCAGAGGGGCTCCGGAGGGGCTGGCTGCTCTCCCGGGACCCTGCGGAGCCGAAATCGAGGGCGGCGCTGGGTTGGAGCCGTGCGGCACAAGGAGCCCGGCTGAGCTGGCAGGACGCTGCCCTCGCTCTTATACTTGTCTGGGGGTCAGGAATGCAGAACAAGGCCGGCCGTGAGGCAGACTGGCCCCCTGGCTTTGGTTCAGCCGGGACACGCTCTCTCCAAACAGCGATTATCTGGCTGCTGTGCCCCGATAACGCCGTGCCACGCTCAGCACCCTCCAGGAGCACGTTCCCTGCCGGGGGAGCGAGCCGTTCCCCGCCGGCCGCAGGACGAGGCACGGGGAGCAGACGCAGCGATAAGCAAGGCGTTTGTGGGGCAGGAATTGAACGTTTCACCTCCTCAGCTGCAGCAGCAGACAGCATCACAGGCTGGCACAGCCCCAGAAACACGGGCAAGGAACACGCCGTGGCTCCCAAGAGCTCACAGCACCTCCTGGGGTGGGAAATTCAGTATTTAGGAGATGGGATCACGAGTTGCTGAGGCGGATTTCAGCTCGACATTCTTCCACAAAACAACAGGCAGACACACACAGAGCCCAGAGAAGGCACAAGGGCTTCTGAAGCACACAACAGTCGTTCTGACTCTCATGGCTAGGGATAAAACTCAGGCGGGTTTCACTCCCTTGCCTTCGTGGAGGTGTTACCACAGCTGCGCAGGAGCTCCTCTGAGGCATAAAGGGCAGAGGCTGCTAAAAATCCCCAAAACTGCAATAAACCCCAGACAAAACGCTCTTCAAGTCACCCAGCCGTGCAAAAATCCCTTGGTCCAAACAATTCCCATTCTCAACACCGTGATCTGCCGGAGATTAGCTCTGAAGTTACAAACCCAGATCCTTAAAAAACACTCACGTCCCTTCCTAGCCAATAAAAGCAACCTGACAGGAACACTTTTCCTGCTTGGAAATGGTTTATCTCCCCACCTGCCCCATTCCTGCTCCTCCCGCAGCAAAGCAGAGATTTCCTGGGAGAACTCCCAGCCCAGAGGGAAAACAAAGAGCACGGTGTGACCAGGGGGAATCACGGAACACTCTGTCCCTAAGCGCCACGGTGCTGAATGCCGAGCTGAAGGGAAAGAAGAGAGAAAATAAAATAAAATATTTAAAATACACAGCAAAGGGATCACCTAACACTTTGTTCCACACATTCCCAGCACCGGTTCCGTTCCGTTCGGTCCGGCTGTGTCTCACACAGCACACATTCCCAGCACCGGTTCCGTTCGGTCCGGCTGTGCCTCACACTGCACACATTCCCAGCACCGGTTCCGTTCGGTTCGGTCCGGCTGTGTCTCACACCGCACACGTTCCCAGCACCGGTTCCGTTCCGTTCGGTCCGGCTGTGTCTCACACCGCACACATTCCCAGCACCGGTTCCGTTCGGTCCGGCTGTGTCTCACACTGCACACATTCCCAGCACCGGTTCCGTTCGGTCCGGCTGTGTCTCACACCGCACACATTCCCAGCACCGGTTGGGTCCGGCTGTGTCTCACACCGCACACATTCCCAGCACCGGTTGGGTCCGGCTGTGTCTCACACCGCACACATTCCCAGCACCGGTTGGGTCCGGCTGTGTCTCACACCGCACACATTCCCAGCTCCGTTTGGGTCTGGCTGTGTCTCACACCGCACACATTCCCAGCACCGGTTCCGTTCGGTTCACCAGGACACTCCCCGGCACAACGCAGTCTCACCACCGGTACAGGGGATGGGGGTGAGGTTGCAAAGGTGACACACACACCAGCCTGTGTGTGTGTGTGTGTGTGTGTGTGTGTGTGTGACAGCAGGCTGTGCGTGTGTGTGACACCATCCCGGTGTGTGACACCATCCTGGTGTGTGACACCATCCCGGTGTGTGACACCAGCCCGGTGTGTGACACCATCCCCGTGTGTGACACCATCCCCGCGTGTGACACCAGCCCGGTGTGTGACACCAGCCTGGTGTGTGACACCAGCCCGTGTGTCCCAGGCCCAGCAGGTACACCGCTGTCCTCCTGCCCGTGTCACAGCGCCTGTCACAGTGCCTGGCACAGCCTGGCCACCGTCCGCGGCCACCAAAGGCACAGCAGCCTCACCACCGCCAGCCAACAGCCACCCCAGGATGTCCCAAAGCGTCACCTTCCCCCGGAGAAGGCAATCCCAGCAGGTCACAAGTGACAGACCGCAGCCACAGCGAGGCTGGCGGTGCCACCCGTGTCCCAGGGACAGATGCAGGGCAGGGAACTCCGGGCACTCGGGGAGAGAGGGAAACACATCCTGACAAAACACACCCGGGGGAACAGAGCTGTCCCCAGAGCTGTCCCTAGAGCTGTCCTCAGAGCTGTCCCCAGAGCTGTCCCCAGAGCTGTCCTCAGAACTGTCCCCAGAGCTGTCCCCAGAGCTGTCCCCAGGCTGCAGCGGTGACAGCGATTTTTGTTAAAATAAACCTCCGGAAAAGCAAGCACTGCTGGCTGAGAGCTGCCGCCGATGCTCTGGAGGGTGACCCGTGAGTAACACCGTCCCAGACAGACTGACAGCACCCTGACACCACACCTACCGCCACAACAACCAACCCGCTAATGACAACAGCCTGCAAATTGACATCTGGACAGAACCTTTCACACCAGTAACGGGCGAGAAGGGCTCCAGAATCAGACAAACACCAAGGTGCCAGGAGAGCAGCGCACACTCTGATGGCTTTTAACCACCACAACATCACCGCCGAGTTCTGCTGTTTAACAATGCACGGGCACAAGTTTTACCATCAGCACGGCAGAGGAAAATCCATCAACCCATAAAACAAAAAGCAGCTCGTGATTTGACGGAGATAAGGGATTAAACTGCAGATACTTTCCAGCACATTACACTGTTATCTGCTTGCCCCACGGGTGAACGGCAGCAAAATGTTTGCAGAGGAGAGAACAAATAGCATTAAAGAGCAGGGGAAGAGCGCTGGGAAGGCACCACGCTCCCACCGCTCCCCAGAACACTATTTTTGTGTGTGCATCTGAATCACCGGTATCAACTCTCCTCATCCCACTGGCAGCAGCTACCGAAATTTAAGACACATGGCAGCGCAGGAGGAACGGGAGAAGAGCTGGAGGAAGCGCTGAGTGGCAGTGGCTTGACACAGATTCACCTCTGAGAAGCCGGAGCAGCCGTTCCTCGGGGCACGTCTGCTGCTCCCAGCTGCGCCCCCAGCTCTGTCCAGGAGCGCTTCCCGAGGGCTGTCGGAGCAGGGGGAGCCGGGCTTTCTGCCGCCCGGGGCTCTAACTCCTGTCCCAGGAGCTGGCACAGTGCAAACGCCACGTCCGAACACCCGCCGCCCTCGAGGGGAAACCTAACCCTGCTGCCACCACGTGTTTTAAACCCCAGAAAGCTCAGCTTCACACACCTCCCCCTGTCGTTTTTGTTTCCTTGAGAAAGCACACAGCTGGAGATCATCTCCTCCTTTCAGCACGGGTTTCTGTGCGCTCCGACAGGAAGGTCTGCGCAGGACCTGAACTGCTCTGCCACCCTGAGCCGCACACACCTCGGGCCAGGGACAGCCCAGGGACAGCCCCGGGGTCCCAGTGAACTGTTCTGCCACCCCGAGCCACACACACCTCGGGCCAGGGACTGCCCCGGGGTCCCAGTGGTGTCTGTGCGGTCCGAGCACAGCTCCTGAACTGCTCTGCCACTCTAAGCCACACACACCTCGGGCCAGGGACAGCCCAGGGACAGCCCCGGGGTCCCAGTGGTGTCTGTACACTCTGAGCAGGAAGGTCTGCACAGGACCTGAACCGCTCTGCCGCCCTGAGCCACACACCTCGGGCCAGGGACAGCCCCGGGACAGCCCCGGGACAACCCAGGGACAGCCCTGGGACAGCCCCGGGACAGCCCCGGGACAGCCCAGGGACAGCCCCGGGACAGCCCCGGGGTCCCAGTGAACTGCTCTGGCACCCCGATCCGCACACACCTCGGCACCCTGTATGAAAACCAAGCGAAGGGCAGAGGTGGCCGTGCAGTGACAGGACAAACCCGACCTGCAGAGACCCCTCGCTGTTGGCGAGGCTCCTGTCCCACGGTGATCTGCCAGAACCCCTCACGGGAGGGAGAGGGAAGCGCTGCCGGCACAGGAGCGGTGTGATTTCCACAGCCCAGCAAGACGTGTGCTAGATAACATCTGCCCTTTACAGCAATCTGCACAGGGAGAGCGCTCTCTGCGCTCGTTACAGCTCAACAAAAGAATCACCTCAGCAGGCATGGAAAATTCCAGCCCCCACCAAAAGTTAACAACAGAAACAGAGCCCTAAAATCCCTGCAGGACCTTAACAGCGGCTCCTCACCAGGACCTGCTCTCAGCACCTTTGTTCTCACCAAATCAGTGGATTCCTCTCAAAGCTCACACCCCCACTGTGCCAGCCCAGCCTGAACGCGTTATGTAAAGAGCTATCTCCTCAGGAACGGAATTCTAATCAGCGTCAGGCACCCGCTGCTTCTCCCCGGGCCTCAGCCCTTTGAAATAAAGTTCCTGAATCAATATTAAACATGCGTGCTTATGCAACAAGCAAATCCAGAGAGGTTCAGGGATGCAGAGTGGGAAGAAACTCTTTGCAGGGACAGGGTGAGGGCAGCGCCAGGAGGACGAGGTGCCCGTGTGCTGTGTCGTGGAGGCCGGGTCCGGCTGGCAGGGCTGTGCACTGTCCCGGGCTCCTGGAGGGCCGGGAGCCCCAGGGTCCAGCCCCAGGGTCCAGCCCCAGGGGACAGCCCCAGGGGACAGCCTCATTGTCCAGCCTCATTGTCCAGCCCCAGGGTCCAGCCCCAGGGGACAGGGAGCGCTGGCCCAGCAGAGACGAGCCGGGGAGCGGTGCGGGGACAGCAGGGTCCCGCTCGGGCTGTGACACCAGGGCCATAAACCGGACAGCCAGCCGCGGCTGAGGCCAGCAGCGTGCCCCAGGCTCAGCGCCGCGGGGACGGCAGGCAGCGGCACAGGGGAGCGAGTTCATGTTTATCACAGCCTTTGTGCACCCTGGGAAAGCAGTAACAGCACCGTCCTCGCCATCCCGGCGAGGATGCAGAGGCCACAGGACTGAAGAGCCCCCACAGAACCACTGAGGGGGCTTTTCCAGCGGGCGGGACGGAGTGGGGACAGCGGGGCAATGTTTGGCCGGGGGCAGGACGGCTGCCCGGCGTTTAAACCACAAGACTAGAAAGTTTGGTAGTGGGAGGGGGTTCCTGGTTTTTTTTTGTTTTTTTTTTTGTCGCCGAGAAAAAGCGAGGAAGCGGGAAGGGGACAGGGAGGAGGTGATGAAGGGGACGGGAGGGAGGTGAGGATGAGCCGGGGGGCCGTAAAGGAGGGGAGGTGTGGAGGAAGGCCGGGCAGGAGGGGAAGGGAGCGGGGGAGGAGCCCGCCAAGGGGCCGGGGAAGGAGCCCGGCAAGGTGGGGAAAGTGCCCGTGGAAGCGGCCGGGAAGGGGCGGGGAAGGAGCCCGGGAGGGGATCCCAGCGCAGCGGGCGGGCGGGAGCCGGGAGCGGATGTTACCTGGGCCGCCGTCCGGGCGCGGCCCGAGGCCGCCGTGAGGGGCGGCGGCGGGGGAAGGCCCGGGCCTCCGCCCCCTCCGCTCGGCGCGGCGGGGCGGGGCGGGGGGGGGCG